TGACGGCTCTCGGTTGTGGGGCGGGTTCTACCGTTGTCTTTCAAATCATCTCCGCATGCCACTGGACAATGAATGTGACATACTCTTGTTTCACTCTGTTGCATCATCCCACCCACCAGGCATATAGAGTGCCCTGATTGGCCCACAAAGCGGATAAAGCTCTGTGATTTGTTCACTAAGCAGATAGAGCACTATGATTGGCCCACCATTATGGACCAATCACAGCTGTTTATGTGTTTGAAACCCCTCTAGAGAGCTGTGATTGGCTAGCCAGAGTCCTGGTAGGAGCTGCTGAGGTTCCAATGGAGCATGCCTAGACCATTCTTTGCAAAGCAAGAATTTGGTCTAGTTCACTAGGCTATGTTGCTCCAGCACACACAGAACCTTAAAATACAGCTCTAAAATGCTCTGAACATCAATTCAAAGTTCACTTATGCGCGACACACAGAGATAGCAACACAAAAAAATAACATCAGTCAATAGGAAAGAAGGCGTTTCTAATATCATCAGCATTTGGGGGCTGGTTTTGAATAGAAATGGAAGCTTAGATTCTTCTTTTTGGTGTTTAGTCTCATAAAAAGTACATTTTAGAACCTGCTCTGTTGTCAGAAAAATGAAAATAACTGTCCAGGAGGCAAACTGTGCAAAGCACCACCAGGATTAAGTGAATATTTGTAGGATGAGTCAGCTGATTTGAGATTCATCCTGACTATATTTGGTAATGACACTGGCATTCCTGTTGAAGTAGAATTAGGGAACAAAAGTAGGAGTAAAAAGGCCTAAATTATCTGCATAGATGGACATTTTTTTAAAAACCCGCACCTGCAAACAAATAAAAATGATAATTGTGTAGAAAATCAGCTAGCTATAGGAGATTTCAATCCTGACATCCTTCCCGTCTGAACAGTTGAAACACAGCGAGTGTGTTCACACTTAGATCTCTGAACAGTAGAACACACACAAAGCCAGTGGATCAGGTCCCAAACACTCGAGTCTGAAAATAAGAAATCCAGCAGAACAATCAGCCTAAGCCCTCTTATCTCCACTCAGACGTCGGATATTGGAGGATGAAGGAGCAACACAAAGAGGGGGGGAGGAAAAAAAAGATGTTAAAAGGAACTTTTTGGGAAAACTGGAAAAGTATTTGAGAGGAGGGATGGTTTTTATTCTCTGACCTCAAAATGAAATAGATGAATAAAAGAGAGCGACATTTTATTATGAAGGTGACAATAATAGCCTTGGATCAGATGTTTTCCTGAACTGGCTCTGCCTTGAACGCTAAAAAGCCTCTTGATGCTTCTCTGTTCTTTACAGCGAAGACCAACAACTGCCGTTTGCCGTCAATAACCACAGTTCCTCCAAGACTACAGCGCATCACCAGGAACTTCAGCCAAACATGCGGGGAGTCATGCAACGGCTCCATTCCATTAAGCTGCAAAGTTTCAGATCAAGTCCCCTTATCTACTAGAATATATTAATCCAGTTTCATTTCGGCTAGAGTGCAACTACAGCAAATGTAAACTACCTACATTGAAAGTTGTTTTGAGAAAAATCCATCAATTTTCCACTTTTAACCATTCTGGCCTCCAAAAAGGCACAAAAATCAACCAGGAATTCATGTAAACAGATGAAGTTTTTTATTATTTTTGCTAAATTGAAGACCTATATTTGGAAAACCTCTCTCCCTTAGAGATTTAACGTTGAGAGCTACGGAGGTGTCTCTTATGTTCACTTAGGTTTCCTCAGGGCCGGCGCAGTGCGACAGGCTGAGCTTAGCAAGCAGGAGGCAGACAGGTGGACAAACAATGAACAAATGCAGGTAAGGTCAAACTTACTGGGGATGCCTGAGGTTAAGGCCGGTAGAGGCTCTGGAAGGCAAAGAGAGAGAGAGGAAGTGTTATTGGAAGCAGGAAGAATAGAAAGGAAATTTTTAAGGCCAAAGAGAAACTTTCCTGTTTTATTCCAATATTCACTCTACATTTTCTGTTTAATGATTTAATTTTAATTTTTTCTAACCGTGATAGCAGACACGCTGGGATGGAAAAGCTGAGAGAAGAAGAAGAAAAAGGTGAATATGGGAAAACGGTAAAAAGGAGGAAGCATTGAAATGGGAACGGAAGGATGGGCTGGAATTTATCGCTTTTTAATATTTGCTGGAGGATCTCATGAAAGTGTGGAAACAGAAAACGGTAATGGATGGATGAAAGAGGGAGGATACATGATAGGACAAAGTGAACAATGACGGCATGTTTTTCCAGGTGAATCTGCAACCAAAGGGAAGCAAAACCGAGCTGGAAATGGCGCCAAAATCCCGACGAGTCGTCTCAAAGCACTTCCCACAGTTAACGTGCCAACTGAGGTCAGTTGATTATGCCAAATAGTTAAGTTTCCTGTTTGAGGATTACAGCAGATTGTATTGAGTCACTGACCAGTGTCAGAGACTTCACAGCAATCCCCGTACTAGGCAAGCATGTAGCGACAGTGGAGAGAAACTCCAACAGAGCCTGGCTCAGTATGAGCCGCCATCTGCCGCGAGTCACTGAGGGTTTGAGAAGTTGTTCTATAAAAACTCAAGTCTGCCAAATTCCAGACACTTATCCTTCTAGCTCTACGCCAGTTCCTGCATCTGATCCAAAAAACTTGGAATAATGACATGCTAATCGCACGATACCTGGGAAACTCCCGGTTATTTACAGTACTCATCTTTTCCAGACTGGCAAGCAGCCTCTGGCGCACTTTGAGTTCTGCAAAATGTTGCTTTCTCTCCAGGAATTACTCATGTGCTTATGTGTGATGCTTGATGTCTGAGACTTTTTGGGAAGATATTAGCGTGGGTGAAGATGGAGAGAGAGAGGGGGAGAGAGAGAGACAATGAGGGTGAGCAGGAACGAGAGGAAGGATGGGATGGTGCAAGACTTGGGGAGATTTAATCAAAGATGGATTAAAATCCATGCCTAAAGGTCATTTGTGCCCTACTTTCTTGTTTAATTTCCACGTATTTTTCTTTTTGATGGGTGCGAGTGCAACTGAGAAAATGCGTTTCTCTTTTTTCTGATCTGGACTTTGATAAAACCAGAAAACAAATCCAAAGCACTTTAGTCTTGATCAAACGTGAGACTTACGTGCACACTGCTCCAGCTCTATGCTGTTGCTCATGTGGATGTTGTCTATTCTGATGTGTCCTCTGGTTGGGTGATCAAAAAATCCCTCAAACACCACCTGCAACACAAGATATTTATTGTGAAACCACATATTTTTGCACACGTTGTAAATTTCGATGACTACCAGAAACAAAAGGCACCTGATACTCTTTGGGGCTTTGTGGCAGGATGGTTCGACCCTCTCTCCAGTGAGGACCCTGGTCACCTTTCAGTGCCCATAACGGGGTGTCCTCCTGGTTGTTGTCCCTCAGCAGGACCCTCAGGCTTCCCTGCGCCTCCCCCTGGAGCTGGTAGTAGAACAGGAGGCAGAGCGGGCCTCGTTCTGGCCCTACCTCGGGACTCAGCAGCCGGGCTTTCTTCCGTTGAGTGTGAGAACCTGCATCCAGGTGTAGATAGTTCCCAGAAAAATCTGGTAGAAAACAAAGATGCACCGATTATTACACATTATTAGATTATATTTTTTTAAATAAGGATTTTAGAAGGTGTCAAACGGTAAAAACAGGAAAACAAGTGTAAAGTTTCCCCCAACCAAACACTAATTTGATTATTTGGGCTCCAGAAGGTGATTCTACATGGATGCTGTCCTCTGCCTATCTGTGTTGGTCTGTCTGTTCTCCCTGGCTTCGGCAGTAAATAAAATGAACAGATTTTGCAGTTTTTCAAGCTCAATAAATAATGCATTTGGGTTGAGGTAACTTGGATCTTCACTTGGAGGCAAGGAGAGAATGGGGACCTAAATTACCATTGCTCATTAAATACACTTAGGGAAAAGTTGCAGTGTTTTTCTGTCGTTCCTCGTTTGATCTTGGCAAATGTACAAAGGGACAGAATTAATTAGCAACGCTCCACGGGAGGAATATGCAGGGATGTGAAACTGGCTCTGAGGGATGGAGGGAGGATGTCTCTGTGCTGTCATGGTACACCAGCCCTGTTTTTTAGTCTTTGTTTATGTGTGAGTTTTTCTGTCAGTCATCATCTGTGTCTATAGGGTGGTCTAGCTCATAGTCTGGAATGAAACTCTGACCTTTATTCTGTTGGGCAGTTGCACCACATGCAATCCACCATCCAATTAAATTGAGAAGAAATTTGTGGACAACCAGCTTCATTCGAGGCTTAATTTCCAAGTCAGTTTTTTGCCCTCACTGGTAAATTTAATATCGTTGTACCTTTGTTCTTCCTGCTATCTGCTCCTTCAGACTGCACTAATTGTATAAATGGCCTGTATTTAATATGGCGCGTTCAAGAGTCCTGGAACCCCCCAAGGCGCTTTACAACACAACCAGTCATTCACCCATTCACACACACATTCACACACTGGTGGGGATGAGCTACGATGTAGCCACAGCTGGCCTGGGGAGCACTGACAGAGGCGAGGCTGCCGAGCACTGGCGCCACCGGTCCCTCCGACCACCACCAGCAGGCAACGTGGGTTAAGTGTCTTGCCCAAGGACACAACGACAGCGACAGACTGAGCGGGGCTCGAACCTGCAACCTTCCGATTATGGGGTGAGCACTTAACTCCTGTGCCACCGTCGCCCCATGCATGTCCAAACATGATGTAGTGCAGCTTGGTGCAGTTGGTACTCACTAATGTGTGATTGCACTGAACAAATTTAAGATGGACACAACAAGATAAAGAGATGACGACTGTTTTCCCAGAGTGAGCCGCAGGTCATGATGGGTGAAGAACAAAGTCACTTCCAAAATCGAAAATGAAACCGGAGATTGCTGATCAATCGTCCAAAGGGACAACATTTCCACACGGGTAGAGTTTTCATCAGAGCCCCTGCTCAGTGGGAGGAGACCTCTCTGGATTATTCAGAAAGGCTAAACTGTAAATTTGGGCCTGAATTGGCAGTAAATACATGTGGAAAACACAAAATTTCACATGCAAGATACATGTTTGCAGATAGATTTGGAAGTTAAAAAAGGTTGTGTGTCATTTTTGTAATGAAAACTTTTCAATTTATAATAAATGCTACTTTTAAACCTTTATTTCTATCAAAGTAACAGTTTTTTTAACTAAGCTAGAGCTTTAACATGGATGTCTGTGATTGTTGTGTTAAAAACTTCACCAGTTTCACATTTAAAACAACTCTGATGCCCTCTGACTAAAAACCACACCTGATAGTTTTGTGGAGTGGGTAGGTGTCCTAGGAGGCGCTGTTTATCTGCTTTAAGCCTGTTAACTGTAATGCTAGCAGTTAGCTTTTTCAGTTCACTGATCGCCAATAAAAAGCACAAGAAGGAGAAAAGAAGTAGTTTGCCTTTCCTGTTTGCATCATGGTGGAGCCTGGAAGTAAATGTAAGCGTTTTGGAGGTGAAGAAGATAATTAAAACTGGAGTTAACATCGGCCCAGCCTACATTAGTTTGAGGGAGCTAAAGGAGGCTACAAAATCATGGACTGATGGTGACCTAGCTTTGTTGCTGCTGGACTTGTAGGTAACAAATTTTGTCCAGCAGTGTGGATCTTTTTACTTGGTGTTTTTTTTTAAGTATTAATCGGCTCATGTTAGTGTTAGCTCATGGTTAGCACTAGCTAAAGCTGGCTGCAGCAGGGTTGTTTCTGATGTTGGCAATTCCTCTGTCAACCACTTACTACTTTGAAATTCCCATAAAGTTTGGAATTTCTCACTGTTTGGTCAACTTTTCTCTGAAATCGTCCGTTAATGGCGGCGGCTGTGGGTTTGATTTGCATACGGAGGCAGCTTGCAGACGGGGTGCAGCCCTAATGTTGCTGCAGAACAAGACTTAAAGTCATGTTGCTGTCAAACATGGAGACAGGGACGCTGCTAAGTCAATTTCCCATCGTCACACAAGCACACATGTATACAGTCAGCCTGCAGAGATATGCAACGAGCTCTGCCTTATGTCAGGACCTCGCCTGTTTATGGAGGAGCTGCTCAGCCAACCATAAACTTGATGGCTTCAACAGATGCAAGGAAGACCTTGCTGCAGCAAGGTCATGTGTGTGCAGGGAATGCACACCTAGAGTGTTTTATACTTGAAGAGTCTTACCTTAAGCTGTGCTAGCATCTGTGTGTGTGAGTGAAGGTAAAAAGCCTCAGGGAGAGCTGGAGAGCTAAGGCAGCACTTCTGTCCAAGCCATCATCTGACTTATCTGACCGCTTTGGGCTATGTGTGTGCACCTTGAGGATGTGCAAGTCAATGATAATGTGCGTGGGTGGGTGTTAGAGAGGTATGTGAAGCGGTGAGTGTAAAGGTGATTGATAAAACAGTCCTGGTTATCCGTCTGCACTCTTATTAAAGATGCACAGATGTGGAAAAAGCCAAGTACCACTGAGGGACATGGGAGAGAGGACACGGAGGAGAGAAAGGAGCGATCAGACTGATGGAGTGAGAGGGCTGGAGGTGGAAAGGAGTGGTGGAAATGCAGAAATTATACAAAGAAGTTGAGAAAAAGGTTTATGACTTATAGAGGAGGGGTAGACCAAAAGAGGCCCGGTGCCGTAAGGGAAGCGGGGACAAAATGAAAAACTGAGGATGGAGAAAAGAGACTAGTTGGAACATTAGTGGAGAATGAAATGTATGATGGATTAAAAGAAGAGAAAGGGCAAAGCTGAAGACAGATCATTAGGAACAAAGATGCTTAAAGGATGAAATAAAAAGATGAAATGAGGAATACCTTAAAAAGTCCAAAAATGAAAGGGTTACGGAGCGTGTTATGAAGGAACAGTAAAAGACAACTTGGTAAACTAGGTTAAAGAAAGTGAAACTGTTTGCATTTTCCCCTGCAAACTCTAATTAAGACACGATACGCAGCTCCAGCAGATCAGAGGGAAATCCTTGCATCACAGTTGCTTCCAGTCGCTCCTCAAAGTGCGGGAAAAAAATCATCTTCCACCACGAGACAAATGTTTGGTTCCTAATTAGCCCAAGAAGGCTTTGTGCCGAGGAAGGTCAGAAAAGCAGGAAATTTCCCCCCAAAATTCAGAGAACATATAGAAAAACTAACCGTCAAACTGTAACTAATGGTTGAAAGACACCAATAAAATCATGTAAGGACAACATATTTTTTAACTCAACCTACAGTTAGATTTTTAGTCTTGGAGTAGATTTGTTTTCTAATATTGATTCATTTCATGTAACTTAGTTTGCAGTAACATATAGGTTGGAGCAGCTGAATACATTTAAAATAATTCGGCAAAATTCAGGAATGCTGCTGACTGAACTGTGCAGCGATTAGATGTGTTGCAGCTTTGCATCACATTTCCAGAGGAGAAAAATCTGACTTTTAATGGGATTTGACTCATGAGGGAGTTAAATAGAAAATATGTTTATTTCAGTTGGATTTAGGTTTCCAGAGATTATTCTGTTCTGCAAAATGACTTTATATGAAGAACAATAAACAAAATGGACTTTTTTTCTTGAAACTGCACATGATTAGCTAACAAATCTGTATGTACATGTCCAAAGTTTGCATCAGTTGAGATTCTGCCTCACACCAGTGGATAAAACCACCTCATCCTGCTGCAAGAGTCCATGTCGGCATCACAGATCAGAAGATGCTGTCTAGCATAAACATTTATGCGTCGTCTTACTGTCTGATCCCAGCGACAGGTCCTGCCACGTCCCGTGTGTGCCGTGTCCGCTTGAACCGCTGCTGGCTGTGTGCAAAGTCCAGCTCACGCCCGAGTGGGGATCTGCCGACCAGCCGCACAGGCTCTTCTCAAAGTCACACACAGCCGACAGCGACGGCGAGGTGGCTGCCAGTCGAGAAACAGAGATCAGAAATAAAAATGTCTGAAAGTGAACCTGAGTTTTCACAAATCCTCTCATCTCCCTCTTTGTTTCTATCTTTACTTTTAGATATTTCCCTGATACGATTAGAAAAGTACAGGAAAGCTCCCCGAGGCTGCGGGGATCTTTGAGGGATTACAAATGAAATGGCAGGATAGTAAAGGTTGAGATTATTTTGAGGTAAAAAAAAATGAAAGATGTGAAATTAAATGATAAAATTATGCAGCTCAAACCACAACTGCTGTACGTAAACTCCAGCGAGGCTTCCAGCCTGACAGTCAGTTGACCTATAGCTGTGAAATCATATTCCCGGTGCGCCGCTGCGTGTACGAGGAGGTTAAGATCCTCCGGCTGTGAGAGCTTATTTTCCCTTAAACACAGTTCCTGTGGGACTCCTGAATGTAGCAGACTTCAAAGCCCAGAGGCCTTGTGGTGCACAGTGACATCATCACTTTGACCTTAAGAACGTGAGTGTGTGTGTGTGTGAGAGAGAGAGAGAGAGAGAGAGAGAGAGAGAGAGAGAGAGAGAGAGAGAGAGAGAGAGAGAGAGAGATCTGCATTAATCAGAGTGGAGATGCTGTTTTATTCTTTGTACCTGGTCTCATTGCAGAAGTTGTCTGCTCCACCTTGGGAACAGTGGGGGTCACAGTGTCTGGGAGGGTGGTGATTTCTGTCAGGAAGAGAAAACAAACACATTAATAACTCTATTTGTGAGGTTATCTGACCAACTTTTGAAGTAATATACAATTTTATTATGGAATGAGAAACACAAATCTCTTTTTAAACCTTTAACTTGCAGGTCATCCGCCTGGTAGAGCAGATTTTAGTAACAGCATCTTATTCAAACGGGAAATAAGCTTAACTCAAAAAAAATTCTAAATTAAAATAATTCTTAAAATTATGGAGGTATTTGGACAAAAAGTTAGACACTATTACATTACAATGACATTATGTAAATATTAATTGTATTGTTTTATTACTTTACATTAAAGTTTAGCCCTTTAACTATAATGAATGAAAGGCAAAAGATTTAATTTAGTTATAAATTGGTCTGGTCTTCTCGGTCTTCATTAATAACATCTAAGGGTATTTATTGTATTTTTGAAGTGTAAACCTGTCATTTTCTGACATAAATACAACTTTACAGCTGCAGCTGTTAAGCGAACATTTGAAGAGAGATGGTTTTCATTTTCAAAAATAATTTCTATGAAAGAGGATTAGACCACCAAAAAAAAAAAAAAAACAAATTCTTCTATTGCAGATTTCTGAGAATGATGTGAGAAAGTCAGGATTCTGAGATTAGTCAGGGTTCAGACTTTATTTTTCTGGGATTAACATCAAAAACTCCATAAATATCTAACATATCTGAATAATTGCAAAATAACTCATTTGTTTCCATTGTGAAAAATTTTTGGGGTGTTTATTTCTTAAAAATTATGTAAAAATTAAATTCCAATAAAACACCGAAAAGCTGCTTAAACTTGCATTTTATATTAAAAAGAGTCCATTTTTAATGTGGAAGTACCAGTGTGGCTCCTCCAGACACTTCATGCAGATTAACAGGACAGAATAGATTCTGGTTTCTTTGTCACAAACTTTTCACTGAGTTCATCTCAGAAGTCTCTCCTTTCTCCACCTCACTCAATTATCTCACATTTTATTTTCATCCCTTCATCTCTCTACTTCCTGCTCCGCACCAATCTCTGTCCTCCACAATACATCAGACCACTTTCAGTTCCTCTGTGCAAAACTCCACACAACCCCTGAAGATTTGTTACACACACACACACACACACACACACACACACACACACACACACACACACACACACATACACACACACACACACACACACACACACACACACACACACACACACACACACACACACACACACACACACACACACACACAGCCTCTTTGGCACGGGGAGGCAGAGGAGTGAAATCCTATCTAGTGTTGTTTCTGTTTCACCACAACTGTAATTTTTCTCTTCATAACTCTTTTCTCCGCTCTCCTTCTGTCACCTCTCGCTGAGTTATTTTTTGATTTCCAGTCGCCCCTTGCTTTTGTATTCCCACATCTCTCCTTTTATGTTCTGTCCTCCCTTTTTTCCTCCCATCTCACGACTTCCTCTGAACCTTTCAGCACTGCCTTGTTTGCCAGGACTCGGTTCAGTGTTTTCTCTTGCAGATTTCAACCAGCAGCTCAGTAAATCTCTTCACTGCTGTTGATTTATCTCTAGCCCTGCTCTGGTGGATGTCTCCATGACTCACACGGCGATCTCGCCCTCCGTCTCTCTGCATGTGTTATTTAGATTATAAATTGTCAAACTTTACTAACAACTTTCATTCTTCTGCAGCTTCTGGGTTTATCTGTGTGTTTATAACTTTAATAGCTGTTTGCAAAAGCATGCAGGGTGACCATGTAAACTTAAATACTACTTTATATGTACATTGGATGATCAGCTCCTGCTGCTGACATTAAGTGGTTTTAATGTTGTGCCCTTTACTGCTGTAATTAGCTCATCCTGAAGGGAGGGTGTGTTGAAAATGGAAATAGAAAGACATAAAAAAGGAGTATGCAGCCTTTTTCACCTCGAAGAACCATTTTTCTAATTAGTGACCATGCACAGGCTTCTATTTCTGTCTCCATCTTTTTTTCCCACCTGTCTAATCCAATTGTGATTTCCCCCATCCCTCCCCCGCACCCTTAACTTCCTCTATTTCTCACCAGCTTCATCATCTGTCATCCCCATCCTGTTTCTCTTCATCAGAGTCCTCTCTGTGGCAGCTGCAAAGGTCACTCCATTCATTTAAATAAGTAACATTAACATTGGAGTCTAAATAATTATTAGATGAGTTATTATTGAAATCTGCAGAAAATTAACAAAAAGACAAATGCACGGCAGCATCATGGGTGGAATCTGATTTTAAAGTCCGCGGCCGGCCTCAGGTGGGTCATCGTGAATGCCATAAGCAAATAAATACTACGACATGCACACACTTGGTAAACAGAAACAGGAAGTGTCACAGGCCCACAGGTTCGCCATAAAGCTGCTGACTGAGCAAATGGAAACAGAAAAATCTGTTCAATTATGGAAAGAGCTCTGGGTATAAATCCACCTGTGTCAGCCTAAATAATGACTACCGACATACTCTGTGAAAGAGGGAGAGAAAGGACGTGGCTCCTTCCTCGTTTATTTGTTTACTACATGCTTCAAATTTTTTAAATTTCTGTAATATTTACATTTATTGTCTTTGTTTACATGCACAGTTCTGTGGCCGTGCAACAGTGTTGGTTTCAACATTTTAAAATAAAATGTAGAACGTGTGGCATTTGGAGGACGAAGATTGCCACTGCAGAGATAAAATACTTAGTTTCATCACGTAAAAATGAAGTAAGAATGACATCCTGTGGTCAAATGTGGGTACTGCAGCCTATTTTTCTAGATGCATGAGTTCCGAGAGTTATCAGGACTGTTGCCAGTTAAGGATCAGCACCAGAAGGTTTTAGAATAGAGGCAACAGTAGCTCGGGAGGTAGAGCGGGTTGTCCAGCAACCGGGAGGTTGTAGGATTGATCCCAGCTTCCGGCAGAGAACTCTGCTATTGTGTCCTTGGGCAAGATGCTTAACTCATTGACTGACGACAAAAGTCGGAACGAGCCCCCGCACCGTGAAAACAAACATCTCAGCTCTAAAGCCGATCTTCATCCATGTACTTCACACGTCACGTGATCAGGAAGCAGAAAATCCATGTGCTAGGAGATAGTTTTGGGCCGCTGCTGTAAAAAAAAGTGAGGCGCGCACCGGAAAAGCTTCAGCCGATCACAATTTGACAACAGATTATGAAAGAATGGATAACGCTGGAAACACGCAGATTCTTCCTGATGTAAGAGGCGAGTCTCCTCTGTTACTTTTGGCATCGGCATCATCAGAGCGCAACGTTCTGTGACTCTTAAAAAAGAAAACTCTGAAAACTCTGAAAAACGCTCGCGGTGAAGGGCTTTTCTGATCAGGAAATGGCTGGCGGGTTTTCCAAGGGCACTGCTCAGCCTAAAACAGCAGGGGTCTAACTCAGCTCATCGGAGTTGTGTGTTTCTGCCAGCTCCATGACAGGAAGTGGGTGCACCCCTCATAGGTGTGTGGGGGAGGAAGGGGAGGTGACCCGCGGCACCTGCAAGGGGTGGAGCCTGATCCTTACCCCAAAAGTAGCATGAGGTGATCGGTAAACACAGTGATGCCCCAAGGGGTGGCCATGGCCACCCCTAGAAAATTGCTGGCCCCCCAGGAAAAGCCAGTGTTAATAAATCATATTGTTTAGTCAAACCATAAATTGATATTTTTATTCAAGGCATTATTGTAAAACAAAATAAAAATAATACAATTAATGTGTAAAGGAATAATCAAAATAAAAAAATACATGTTTCTGCTGCTCACTATTTTACATTTTTTTTATCTCCAAAGTTTTTGTGAACACAGCAACAGGTGAATTAAATAAAAATGAAATAACTTTTAAAATAAAAATTTAAATAAAATTTTAAATAACTAAAATTAATTTTTCTGAAATGTTTGTTTGTAAAATTAAAGTTAAATGTTTTGGATACATACTTTCTAAATTTTTTTTAATCTATTTTTTATTTTTTTAATAAAAATGAATAAAGGAGCTATGCAATACATTGTCACAGGCAAAACTCTGCCAGAGTTACCACAAGGACCTATTTGATGTGCCACCCTAAAATTTTCTTTTACCCTGTCTGGTCACCCTTATCAACTTTTTCTTGAGGTGCCCCTGAGTGAACGGTGTGAGATGATGTATGCTACACAGAAACATAACTCTGCCCCCTAGCTAATCAGCGGCCACAGTTGCAATAGTGGCCCGACTTAAACTTGAAAGGCGTTATAAGTGCGGGCCATTTATTATTTAGATGACCATCAGTGAGTTAACAGATGAATCCATTTCATTGTACAATTGAGTTGTTCATTTGAAAAAGTAGTCTGAGATATTTTAAGAGACGATTTGTTCTAATTCACCGTTAGCTCAACGTTAGCCACACAAAATCTGTATTTTAAATGAAAGCAAAAGTTACAAAATATATTGGATATTCTTAAACCCAAGACATGTTACCCTCATAAATAACAGAACTATAACAACTATCACACAAAATCCTCCAAACTTCTGATTATTTTCTTTAGGATCCTGACTAAATTCTCTTGTTTAAAATTTTAGAGGTCATCTTAAATTTCCTCCAGTTAAATAATGTGATTTGGGAAAAATAGCAGCAATTCCTTCAAAAATCGTCGTCCGAGTTGGTAACATGGAAATGTGAAGCACAAAAGCTAAATAAATGAGTAGGTTTGAAAAATTTACATCGTTAAAATTCATGACACCGAAATTTAAAAGCAACATATTGTTTCATTTAAAAAATGGAATATTATATGGATGTATGGATAAGCAGCTGAATGAGGAAAAGGGTGGTGAACGAGATGGAAAAGTAGGAAGGCATATCTGGGAAAGTCTGAAAAGTCACGGTGAATCAAAGTTAAATATTTATATTGGCAAAGTTGGATCATTTTTGCACACAGACGCGAATAAACAGTATAAACCACAGCGAAGCTCGGACCCAGCCTAAGTGCTTCCATGTGTGAAATATCACAAGATGAGAAGC